CCTCCAATTCTAAGGCCTGTTTTTTGTATAGTTTCTCCAATAATGTGCTCAGTATACACATGGAATGAATGTGAGGAAAGGATGTGATTTTATTTCACCCTGTAATTATGTCGGATGAGTGGACTATAGCTCGCTGCAACACTTTGAACAATAGATCAGAACCTTGTCCTACCTTGTAGCACCTTCCTCTTGGTCCGGTGGCTGTGACAATGCATCTTACTGAAGGTCTTCCTCTCCTTCTGTGACCCTCTACTTTTCCCAGCATGATGACCTTTTTCCCAAGGACTTGCCCCTCTCAACAGCATGTCCGAAGTATGGAAGATGGCGTCACCATCTTTGCCTCTAAGGAACACCCTGGTTGTACTTCTTTCCAGACAGACTTACTTGTTCTTCTGGCGTCCGTGGGATATTCAATACTCTTCTCCAACAGCACCGCTTAAAGGTATTAATTCTCCTTCTTCTGCCATCTTTATTCATCATCCAACTTTCAGATGCATAGGAAGTAATTGAAAAAACCATGAGTTGGATTAGGCGCACCTTAATCTTTCAACTGACATCGCTGCTCTTTAGAACTGGCCGCAGGTTTTCCTAACATAATACATCGTTTTTAAAAATTAATATTTTAATGAAAGTTTATAGAAAACTTGGATTTCTATTCATTCATTGTTGCATATTATCCTCCCAGGCCACCCTACCCTCAGTTTGTTTTTTTCTTTGGGAAAAAAAACTTTAAAAAATTATTTCTTTTTTATCCAATCCCCCCCCCCCCCCCCACCCCAGTTCACTTTACTATGCAGCTCTTATTCTGGACTCTTGCCATGCAAATAATACCTAATCATATATTCATTTTGAACAGTTCTTTCCCTCGTCTCTGCCAATGCTGTTTACACTATTTATCCCCTCTTTTCTTAGTTTCCCCCCAACCCCAATGTCAGTCTGTTTTAGAAGAGTGGCATTATGCAGTATTTGTCCTTTTGTGACTGACATATTTCACTCAGCATCATGTCCTCCCAGGTCACCCATTTTGTATAATATTTCATGAGTTCTTTGTTTTTCAATGCTGCATAGTGTTCCATTGTGAGAATATGCCACAGCTTCTCTATCCATTTGTTTGTTGATGGAAACGTGAGTTGTTTCCAACTCTTTACTATTGTAAACAAAGCAGCAATAAACATGAGTGAGCATGTAGCTCTGGTTTCTTCAGGATATATTCCCAGTAGTGGAATTGCTGGGTCAAATGGTATTTCTATTTCCAACTTTTTGAGAAAGTGCCATACTAACTTCCATAGTTGTTTCACCATTTTACACTCCCCCCAACAGTGAATAAGGGTTCCAGTTTCTCCACATCCTCGCCAGCATTTGTTGTTTGTTGCTCTGTTGAATTTTGCTATTGTTACTGGGGTGAGATGATATCTCATAGTTGTTTTGATTTGCATCTCTCTTAGAGCTAGGGACTTTGAACATTTCTTCATGAGTCTTTTCGCCGTCTGAATGTCTTCTTCAGTGAAGTATCTGTTCATATCCTGTGCCCATTTTGCAGTTGGGTTGTTTGTCTTTATATTGTTGTGGTGCTTGAGTATTCTGTAAATTCTACACATAAGTCCCTTATCAGATATGTCATTACCAAATATTTTTTCCCAGTCTGTGGCTTTGCTTTTTACCCTGTTGGAGAAGTTTTGTGATGTGCATAGGGATTTGATTCTTAGGTCTCATTCATCTATTTTATCCTCTCCTGGTTGTAGATTTTTCAGGATGCTTGGAAGACAGTTCCTGTTGGGAATTAGGGCTTCTAGAGAAGAAGAAATAGATGATTTCTACCAACTTTTACAGTCGGAGATAAATCAAACATGCACTCAAGATGCATTGATAATAATGGGTGACTGGAACACAAAAGTTGGAAATAGAGAAGAAGAATCAGTAGTTGGAAAACATGGGCTTGGTGACAGAAATGAAGCTGGAGATAGAATGATTGAATTCTGCACGATCAATGACTTTTTCATTGCAAATATGTTTTATAAGAAACATAAACACAGGTTATACACATGGATTTCACCTGATTGTATGCATAGGAATCAGATAGATTACATCTGTGGAAAAAACCGCTGGAGAAGCTCAATATCAGCTGTGAAAACTAGGCGGGGGGCTGATTGTGGAACAGACCACCAATTACTCATATGCAAGTTCAAGCTGAAGCTGAGGAAAATTAAACCAAATCCACAGGAGCCAAAATATGACTTTGATTTCATACCACCTGAATTTCAGAATCATCTCAGGAACAGATTTGAGGCCTTGAACACTAATGAGCGAAGACCAGATGAGTTGTGGGAGGATGTCAAAGGTATCATCCAGGAAGAGTGCAAACGGTCATTGCAAAGACAGAAGAGGAAGAAAAGACCAAAATGGATGTCAGAAGAAACTTTGAAGATTGCACTGGAGCATAGAGAAGCCAAAGCACAAGGAAGAATTCAAGACACTAAAGAGCTGAACAGAAGATTCCAAAAGGCAGCACGGAAGGACAAAGCAAACAGTGCATGATTCGAAATTGGAATGGGTGTACACCACCTGTATACTGTACACCAAAGACGTACCTTAGCTCCATACTTTTTCAATCTATATGTTGTTGTTGTTATATGCCGTTGAGTCACTTGCAACTCATAGTAACCCTGTGTACAAGAGCCCTAAACGCTGCTCTATCCTGTGCTAACCTCACCATCTCAAACACATTCACTCCCACCTCCCCAAACAGAACCAATCCATCTCATTGAGGGTCTTCCTCTCCTGTGCTGTCCCTCCCCTCTCCCAAACATGATGTCTCTCTCCAAGGACCAGTCCCTCCTTGCAACATGCTCAAAATATGTCAGACAAAGCTCAGAACCAAGGAGCATTCAGGCTTCACCTTCTCCAGGACAAACCTGTTTGTTCTCCTAGCAGTCCTTGGTGTATTCAACACAGATTATCTGGGAGGCTGGGCTCTGTGAGGAGGACTGGAGGAAGACTCATCAACAACCTGTGTTATGCAGATGATACCACCCTGTTTGCTGAAACTAGGGGGGACCTGGAGCACTTGTTGCAGAAGGTCAAGGACTGCAGTCTTCAATATGGATTGAAGCTCAGCATCAAGAAAACAAAGATTCTCACCACTGTGCCAACTGGCAGCATCATGATAGATGGTGATCAGACTGAGATTGTTAACAGCTTTAGTTTTCTTGGCTCCACAACTAACACTCTTGGTATCAGCAGCCAGGAAATCAAGAAATGAATTGCATTGGGAAAGTCTACTGTCAGGGATCTCTCCAGAGTACTGAAGAGCAATGATGTCAGTCTGGAGGCTAAGGTGTGCCTGATCCAGGTCATAGTCTTTGTAATTACTTGCTATGAATAAAAAAGCTGGACAATGACTAGGGATGATAGAAGGAGAATTGATGCCTTTGAGCTGTGATGCTGGAGAAGACTATTGAATATACCATGAGCTGCCAGGAGAACAAATTAGTTCATTGTAGAGAGGGTGAAACCAGGCTGCTCATTAGAGGCAAGGATTCTGAGGCTTCGTCTGACATACTTTGGACATGTTGCAAGAAAGAACCAGTCCTTGGAGAGCGATATCATGCTTTGAAGAGCAGAGGGACAACATGAGAGAGGAAGACCTTCAATGAGATGGATTGATCTAGTGACTGGGGTAATTAGGGTAGATGTGTCAGAGACAATAAGATTGGCACAGAATAGAGCAGGTTTCAGGGCTGTTGTACATAAAGTCGCTATGTGTCATAAATAACTTGGTAACACATAACAACAATGATATCTATGTACAGAAAAAGAGTTGGCCAACGAAACAAAGAAATATCGCATGATTTAAAATCAGGAGAGGTGTGTGTCAGGGCTGTATCCTTTCTCCATACTTGTTCAATCTGTATGATGGCAAAACATTCAAGAATGTGAGTCATCTGAAGAAGAAAGTGGCATCAGGATTACAAGAGAGTTCATCAACAACCTGCTTTATGTAGAGAACACAATTTTGCTTGCAGTAAGTAAAAATGATTTGAAGCATTTTCTGCTGAAAATCAAAGACTTCAGCCTTCTATATTGTTCAACACCCAGAAAACAAAAGTCCTCACCACTAGACCATTAAGCGACATCATGATAGATGGAGAAAAGATTGACATTGTCACTGGTTCATTTACTGGGATCAGCTACCAGCATCCATGATAACAGCAGTCAGCAGATCAGAAGGCATATTGCATTGGGGAAAATCTGCTGTCAAGAGTCTCTACAAGTGTTGAAAGAACAACCGTGTTCACTTAAAGAACGAGGTGCGCCACATCCACGCCTTGGCCCTGTCACTTATTTCTTCTGCATCAGGAAGTTGGACAATGAGTAAGGCTGATGAAAGAACTGATGCCTTTGAGTTGTGGAGAAGAGTACTGAATATCCCATGACGTTCCAAAAGAACAAATCAGTCTACCTTGGAATAAGCACAGCAAGGGAGCTTCTTTGAGGCAAAGATGGTGAGAGTTTATCTCACATGCCTGAACCTGTTGTCAGAAAAAGCCAGTTAATGAAACCAGACATCTTGCTGGGAAGGGTGGAGGGTAAGAGAAAGAGGGAGACGCTCAACAAGATAGATTCGTACACACAAACATAGATTGACACACTGACTTTACCAGTGGGGTGGAGAACCTGGGCGATCTTGAAAAATAGCACATAGCAGGACAAAATTCAGATCTGTTGTTCATAGGGTCACTGTGAGTGATAGTCAACCACGTGTCACAAAACAGCAAGTTAATGGTTTTTTTAAAATAAAATTTTATTTGAAGTGTGATTTTAACGACTGTTTACAGGGCCGTAGATCTGGTAGAATGCAACACTGTACACTAAAATCTGCGCTGTTGACAAGGACAGGAGGAAGACATCTAGGAAGCCCACTTCCTACCCCCCTGAAGGCCTCAACAGTCAAAGCGCTCTTTCTCTAGTCAGCTGACCGGCCCCCTTCTCTGTCTCTCCAGATGCGGGGAACACGTCAGCAGGGATCAACAGCAGCTCCTCAAAGGGGTCTCGGAACTGGACATCCAGACCGGGGGGATCCCCTCCCAGCTGCTGGTGCATGGAGCCCTGGCCTTTCCTCTGGGGCTGGACGCCAACCTCGGCTGCTTCCTGGCCGCTGCCCGCTATGGCCGTGGCCGCGTGGTGCTGGCTTCTCACGAGGCCTTGCTGTGTGCGCCCCAGTTGAAGCCCTTCTTACTCAATGCTGTGCGCTGGCTGGCCAGGGACCAACCGGGCAAAGTTGGAGTGAACACAAGTCTGAAGAAACTTTGTCCCCTGCTGTCTGTGCACGAACTGACCTGCAGTTTGGAGCCTCAGTTGACCAATGGCCTGCGTGTCTACTGCTGTACAGCCTACAGTGCCAAGGAGGCCCGAGAACTCCAGGAATTTGTGGCCGAGGGTGGCGGGCTGCTGATTGGGGGCCATGCCTGGTGGTGGGCCTCCCAGAACCCAGGCCGCTCCCCTCTGGCCAGCTTCCCTGGGAACCGCATTGTCAACCCCTTCGGTCTCAGCATCCTGGCCCAGACCCTCAGTGCTGGCCGTTTTCCTGTGCCCACGCCCAAGATGTTGAACTACCACTTCCGCAGGGCCCTGGCCACCTTTCAGGAGGACTTGAGCATGGAGAAGAGCTGGCTGGCCAGACTGGGGGTGGACGGGGCAGCCTTCCTGCAGATCCCTGCCGAGGACATCCCTGCTTACACCTCTCTACACAGATTGCTGAGGAAGACCCTTCAGCAGGCGGGGCTCCCTGCTGTGAGCCGGGACAACCCTGTGGCCAGTGGCTCCCGAGAGGCCACTGTGCTGTGTCTGGCCACGGAGCTGGCCCACTCGGGCACCGACTGCTCCCAGTTGGCGCAGGGGCTGAGTGTTTACACTTGCCTCTCCAGCCTGGACTCCTTTGATTGCCCCATCACAGTGCAGATCGACGGGACCAACCCAGGTGCGTGTGAGGAGGAGCAGGCGGGCCGTGTGGGCAGAGGGGACTCAGCAGGACAGAGCCCTGGAGGTGACTGTGATGTGGAGAATGAGTCAGGGCACCAGGAGGGGCTGCTGGTCGTGGAGCAGGAGAGGGACAGTCACTCACAGTGGGTCAACCCTCCCCTCGGCCCTTACAGGCAGCAGTGACATCTGGGTGAGCACGGGGCTCTACCTCCCGGAGGGAATGAACTTGGAAGTTTCTCTGTCAGAAGCCGTGGTCTCTGATGGCCTGAAGGTAAGGCTGGAGTGAGCCCAGGTCCTCAGAGCTGCAGCCTCCCACCCACGTCCTGCCTTCATGTAGTTTGCTGTCTGGGGTCCCAAAAACCACTGCATGGAGCGAACCCTGCCTCTCGGTGACCTTGTGAAGTGTCCTCGAGGCTTCGCAGGTCTTTGCTCTGTTTTTTTGGGGGGGTCCTTCTCAGGTTCCTCTCAGGACTCCCACTGCCCATCTTCCGTCAGCACTGCGCAGACTCTGTTTGTTCCCCTGGACCCTCCCAGAGTGCACGAGTGGGTTCTGCTGCCCATTTCACAGAGTGTCCTGAAGAGTCAGGGCCCCAGAGCCCCTCATGTCAGATCACACCAGGATCAAACCTCAGTCCCTCATTTCTGTGTCTGGAGGCCTTTCCCAACCACGAGGGTGCAGTGAGCCTCCAAAGGTGAAGGGACAACACCTGCCCTCATCCTGCCCTCAGCACCCCCAGGCATCTTCCTGAGTCCCCTCTTTTCTCAGCACCCCACCCGCAGCCCTTGAGATTGAGTCTCTTCCTGCTTGTTCTCATGCCCAGTGCCTGCCGCACTGACAGGCTTGCTTGCTCAGCGCCCTTCCCAGATCGGCTGCACTGAACCTAAGACAACCCCAGGGCCAGCGGGCCAGGAGTCAGCCAGGCAGCCAGGAAGGAGACCATAGAGAGGGGCAGACGCACCCGCCCTCCACCTCTCAGGTCAAGCAGCACAGCTCTGCCTGGCCTCCTCTGTCCAATGTGGATGAGGCCCTTGGCTCACTCCCACTGGGAGCCACCAAAGATGCAGGTCCAATGCCAGGGCCAATGCAGGACACACCTGTCACACCTGGGCCCTCACAAGATAGAGATCTCCTGGAGGGCTGTGTGGGAGCTGAGGAAGGTGATGCAGACCTGGAGCGCCAACACCTGCAGGCCTCTACTCGTCACCCACAGAAAGAGAAAGCAGAGTGCATGGCTCCCCATCCACACATCGTACCAGGGCAATCCTCCAGGGCCCGGTCTTCTGACTCAGGTGTGTCCCTCTGCAGGTGCAGGTAGGCTGCCACACCGATGACCTGAGCCATGCCAGCAAGCTGTGCCGAGCCCCCATGGTGACCCACCTGTGCCATGCGGACCGGACTGAGCTCTCAGTGCCCTGCCTGTGGGGTGGCCTGATCTACGTCATTGTGCCCAAGGGCAGCTCTCTGGGCCCAGTGCCCATCACCTTCAGGAAAGCTGTGCCAGCCCCCTATTACAGATTGGGTGAGTGGGGACCAGGACTGAGCTGAGGCATCAGGGGAGCCAGGGAGCTGGCTGTAGAGGAAAAGTGGGGTCAAGGTGAGTGAAGGAGGAGACCTGCTAGGACAGAGATGCAGGTCCCCTGTCTAGGGTGATGGGACAGGCAGTGTCCAGGGATATAGAACGTTCTGCATTAAGAGCACAACGCCCTGTATCCAGAGATAAGGAGCTCCCAGGTCCATGGATATGAGATAGTCTGTGTTCATGAATATAGTATACAATGCATCCGTGGATGTTGTATTCCCCGTGTCCCTGTTTACAGAACACTCTGCATTTATCTATATGCCTTCTCTCCAGGGTGTGATACGTGCGCTCTTGTGTCCATGGGTATAGGACATCATGATTTCATGCATATTCTCTATTCACGTACGGTATAGAATGCCCTTTATCTAGAGAAATAACACTCTTTGCATCCATGCATACAGGATATACTGAGTCCGTGGATACATAATTCCATACATCCATGGATATGGGATAGCCTACTTCCAGCCGTAAGAAACACCCTTGCATCTATGGATAGAAAGCAGTTTATATCCTGGATACAGGATGCGCTGTGTGCATGGATACAGAAACCAAAGGACCATGAATTGGGGTGTTCTGCATCCAGGGACATGGCAAGCATCCAGGTCATGAGATGGCAGAGAGAAAGGTGTCATGACTCACTCACTTCACAGCAGTAATGTCACATGTCCGTGGTACTTACTCCAGGTCAAACATCACAGGAGGAGTGGAGGAGGTGCATCCAGCAAAGTCCGGCTCCCTGGGGGGAGCTGGTGACAAGCAACATCATCCTGACCGTGCCCACCAAGAGCCTCCACTGCCTGGAGGACCCCAAGCCTGTGCTGCACCTCTGGGATGAGATGATGGCCGCTGTGGCCAGGCTGGGAGCCCAGCCCTTCCCCTTCCACCGCCCTGAGAGGATTGTTGCTGACGTGCAAATCTCAGCAGGTGGGTGCCTGAGGAAACCGCCCATTTCTTATTTTGAATGCCCAACTGGAGTAAAATATAATGTCATGAGAAAATAGCGGGAAAATCAGAACAGGCCTGGCTTTGCGAGGTATGACACGATGCTCGTACGTGAGAAACCTGCAAGAGGAAATTCAGTGGGACACTAAACTAAAATTAAAACACAGTACCAGTGGCTCACAGACGGCAGTGGGGGTACTTCAAGAGGAGGAAAATGAAGGAGTTCCTTCAAACATAAGGCAGAGAAGGCAACAAAGAAGAAAATAGCAGGAACATGTCTACTTGTATTTTATTGGCTGTAAAGACATTCGACTGTATGCACAATAATAAAGTGAATAACATTGAGAGGAATGGGGTTTCTACAGCACTTAATTCTGCTCATGTGGAACCTGAACATGGACCAGGAAGTGAGAATTGAATAGGCCAAGGTCAACAGCATGGCTTCATATCAGGAAAGGTCTGCGCTGGGGTTACATCTTTTTACCATACCTATTCAATTTGCATGATTAGCAGATAATTTGAGAACTTGGACTGTATGAAGAAGAATATGGCATCAGGATTGGAGGAAGCCTCATTAGTAATTAGATTAATGGCACCATCTTGATCAAAGTAAAGAGGACTTGAAGCACTTACTGAAGAAAAAAGTTTATAAAAATCAAAGTTTATATACCTTCAGTATGATTATACATCAACATAAAATAAAAATTCTCGCCATTCGACCAATAGCCAACATCGTGATAAATGAGGTAAAAGAAAATTCAAGTTGTCTATTATTTCATTTTACTTATATCCACAATTGATACCTACAGAAGCTGCAGTCAAGAAATCAAAAGACGTGCTGTAGTGGGCAATTCTGTTGCTAAGGATCTTTTAAAAGTGCTAAATGCAAGGATGTAAGTTTGAAAACTAAGGTGAATCTGACCCAAGCCATGGGTTCAGTTGTTTTTTTACAACATAAATGTGAAAGTTTGACAATGAATAAGGAAGATAAAAATAATTGATGCCTTTCAGTTGTAGAGTTGGTGAAAAATATTGACTATACCATCGATTTCCAAAAGAACAAACAAATCTGTCTTGAAAGACATAAAGTCAGAGTGTTTCTTCAAAGCAAACAGGATGCGACTTTACCTCATATCCTTTGGGAATATCGTCAGAAGAGGCCGGTCATAATGTTTAGAAAATAATTAGCAAAGTAGAAGAAGACCTTCTATGAGGCGGATTGAGCAGCACAAGGTCTGCAGCAGTGGGCACACAGAGATTGTGAGGGTCGTGCAGGACCTGGCAGGGTCTGTGCATGTTCTTCATAGGATTGTTAGGAGTTCCAGCCCATTCAAGAAAGCCTAATAAGAGAGAACACGATCTTAATTCCGCATGGAGAATACGCATATTCCCTGGACATCAGTTCTCTGTGTAAAATAGTAATGTTGGCTACACCATCACTGTCACAGAGTATAAATCTAGACAACAATGGTTTGCCTGGGGGCTGTCAGAATGATATCCTCTAGGCCTAAAGGAGTTTCAAATGCAAACTCAGGACACCATGTTGCAAACTCACATGGAAAAGAAGTTTACAAGACAATGAAACATTAGATTATAACAAGTAAGTCTATGAACTATCCAGATTGCTCAGGGCTAAAGTGAGAAGAAGCCATAACTTGAGTGGAGAAAGGCTAGAAAGCCTGGGAGAAGACTAAGGATAGTAAGTTCCTGTCCAAGTCAAGACATCCATCTACCTTCTAGACAACAAGGAAGTCCTGGAGTTATTGGGCCACCAATATGAAGTTGGAAAGTCACACAAGGGAAAGGAATAAAGATGGGTTTGGATGGACCTCAACCATCACCTGTTCCTCCTGTCCTCCTGGTTCAAATTCAAGGAGCACATTTATTTTCTAGACATCAAGGAGATCCTGGAATCATTAGCCACCAGGATGGATAAGGGAAGTCATACAAAGGGAAGGGGTGAAGGTGAGTTTGGGTGGGTCTCACGCATCTCCTTTCTTCCTCCTGTCCTTCAGGTTGGATGCACTCTGGGTACCCCATCATGTGCCACGTGGAGTCGGCACATGAGCTCACCAGTGAGGCAAGCATGAGGAGCAATGGTCTGTGGGGACCCATCCACGAGCTGGGCCACAACCAGCAGAGGCATGGCTGGGAGTTTCCCCCACACACCACTGAGGCCACCTGCAACCTGTGGTCAGTCTATGTCCACGAGACAGTCCTGGGCATCCCCAGGGCTCAGGCCCACCCTGAGCTGAAGCCTCCAGAACGGGAGAAGAGGATCAAGACACACCTGAGAAAGGGAGCCCCTCTGAGTGACTGGAGTGTATGGACAGCCCTGGAGACATACCTTCAGGTACTGGACAGAAAGGAGGGAGGTGGGACTCCAGAGACCACAGCTGTGTACCACCATTGTCCCTAGGTGCCTCAAAGTCTTTCAGCATCCATGTATTTTGAGGTTATCCATCTCTAATGTGGAGACAAGCTGCCTCTGCACTCACCTCCCCATGGTTTTGTGATGATAAGAGTAAATAGAAAGATTGAAGGAAATAAAGGTGCCTATAGCAGCACAAGGGAAGAAGGCTTTGCCATAGATGCCCCTAAGCTTGAGTTGCTGCTCTCTCACTCATGTATGTGTCTCTGTCCCCTAATAAGTACTCCATAAGTGGTAATGTTTTGAGTTTTGTTCTTTTTTTTCTCACTTTAGTTAAATGAATTGAGTGAGAAGCATGGCACATTCTAATAACAGGGTCTAAGGGATGACTGGTTTATCAAAGGCATTTTAGGAGAACAGCCTGGTAGTACAATTCTCACACTGTCATCATTCCAACTTGAATCCCAAATGGATAACTAAATAGATAACAACAACAAATATAATTCTCTAATAGCCTCCACATAGTCAAATTTTAAAAATTTGTGTTTAGAAGCCTCTTGTTTAAGCAATCAGGACGTGGTGGGCAGGCCTTTGTATTTAAAATGTGGTTGGGTCCTACCTGAGGGTGAGTCTCCAGCCTGGAACAGTTGGATTCTGGCGGGTAAGTGTTTTTTATTTACTTGAAAGCTGGGTGTAAACTGCTTGGATATTTTTTTATTATTATTTTCTTAACCATCAACTGTAAGCTGATTGGCCAGTTCTGATTTCATTAACAATCAGCTATGGGCTGGAAGCCTCTTGTTTAAGCAATTAGGACCTGGTGGGTGGGCCTTTGTATTTAAAAGTCAGTTGGGCCCAAGGAACTGTGTTAATTGTGTTTGGAGAGAACATTGTTCTAAGTGGTATACCACTTGTCTGTCAGTTTGCTGTACTGAGATAACTTAGAATTTCTGTGATACTGAAATCTGTGCCACTGGTGTGTCACCTGTCAGTAGGGTTACCCATGGTGGACAGGTTTTGGTAAAGCTCCTAAATTAAGACAGATTGGGAAGCAGAATAGGCCATCTACTTCCGGTATAACATACCTTTGAAAATCTTGTAAATTAGAACAGGGTCTTGTAGATTGTTCATAGGGTCGCTAAGAGTTGTATATGATTCTGTAGCACCTAACAACAACACAACAACAACTTGATAGGAAAACTCCAACATCACAAAAAAGGTCTGTTGTCTTTAACTGTGGTCTAGTCATCCCTCTACACATGATGACATCCACAGAGCAGCAAACCCTCTGTGGCCCTGTGCTGCCTGTGTGACCAATGACAGATCAGATTGGGATGATCCACGGGATTTGGTTTAGGAAAATCCTCTTTCCTCTGAGATATGGCTGAGCTGACTTCAGCTTCCATTCTTCTATAGTAGCCAAACACTAAACCATCATACACCAAGGATTGCTGGATTAGCACGAGGTCCTGGTAATTCTAAAGTTCCATCAGATTGTTCAAAAAGCTTCTATGAAGAGGACTGTAGAATCAGGATTGGAGGAAGACTCATGAACAGTCTTTTTATGCAGATGACACAACTTTGCTCACCAAAACTGAGGAGGGCTTGAAGTGTTTGCTTCAGAAGGTCAAGGACTGCAGTCTTCAATATGGATTGATGCTAAAAATCAAGAAGACAAAGATTCTCACCACTGGGACAGTTGGCTGCACCATGATGGATGGAGAAGACACTAAGGTTGCTAACAATTTCACCTTACTCAGGTCCACAATCCACACTTTTGGCACCAGCAGTCCAGAAATCAAAAGACAAGTTGCTTTGGGAAAGCTAGGGACCTGTTCAATGTGGAGTGCCTGATCCAAGCCATGATCTTCTCAATTACTTGCTATGCATCTGAGAGCTGGACAATGAAAAAGGATGACAGAAGCAAATCAATGGCTTTTAGGTGCTGGAGAAGAGTATTAACATACCATGGACTGCCAAAAAAAACAAACAGGTCTGTCCTGTCTCCCAAGTTGCTTCTTGAAGGCAAGGATTGTGAAACTCTGTCTCACATGCTTTAAGCGTGTTACCAGGAGGGACCAGACCTTGGAAAAGGACATCATGCTTGAAAGTATGAAGTGTCAGCATGGGAGAGGAAGCCCCCGGAGGAGATTGATTGATACTGTGACTGTGGCAGTGGGGACAAGTGCATCAGAAACAGGGAGATTGACTCTAGATGGGGTGGGTTCAGAGATATTGTTCATAGGGTCTCTATGAGTCATAGTCAACTCAGGGGCACACAAAAACATCATCATCTTACATCAGTCTTAATTATTAATGCATCTTTATTGCATATCTGATCAATTTTAGACTGCAGAAGTTTATAGAAACTTTCTTTTTTAAAATTGTATTTTATTAATTTTAATGAACATTTACAGAGATTTTGGCTTTCCATACTTTCATTGTCGCATTATTTTCTCTACCCTCCTCCAATTTGTTCCTCTCTTTTTTTTCCCTTTGAAAGTCTGTTTTAATTGTCCCATTGCTACAGTGCTTGTCAAAACCAGTTCTGATTAATCTCCTTTGTCAGTGTGTCCTTTGCCATTCCCTATCACTCCTCCCTGAGAGAGATTTCTCCCTGATTCATAAGGAAAAGGGGACAGTGTATTCTCTTAGCTACTTCCTGCTGAAAAGGAAAACTGTAGGTTTCAAGGTGAAGATCTTCTCTCACTACTCTAAAGGGCCCCTTTGACAATAGGAAACATGTAGACTATTGTGGAGATTGATTTTGGAATTTAGATGCACTGTTATCAATTGTGCTCAGCCATACATGTTCATATCCTTGGAGATGCATCATAGAACTGTTGTAACCTAGAAGACACAAATTTAACTAACAAGTTAAAAGTACATGAGTCAAAAATTAAAAGCAATAATATTCCAAGTAGAGGTTCTAACAGTGGCACAAATCAAGTTACAGAGGGAAGGTAGTTCTTAAAATAAACGGCTTATTGACTAGCACTTTGTCTATTATAGTATAAAGGTTAGGAACCACAAGATGTAAAGGCTCAACTATGGCATTTATTATTCTTAAGTCCTGGACCAAATTACATCTACCACTGGGTTGTTTTATAGCTCGGAAGTCCGCATGCAAGGCAGAGGTGAAGTAAGGAACTGCTTATGAGGTTTTCCATCAATTCCAATCATTAAGAAATAGTGAGAAGATCTGGGACCTCAGAAGGCTTTTAGGACCAAATAATAGGCTCTTGTGTCCAGGAGAAAATGAATATACTTGCCAGTAATGTTAATACTCACCACTAATGTCATGGCTCTTGTGGAAGGATCTAAATCTTTGAAGCATCCTCCTTTGTTTCCAGCTGGGAGATGGGGCCTGTCAGTCCTGTCAGCCGTGAGGACCTGTTGTGGGCTGCCCTTGGCCATGTGTCCTTCAGATCCACACTTAAAGTATGTGAGTGGGAGCTTCCTCTCTACTCCCTTCCCTATCTGTGGCTCTTGTCTGTGACACTGCCTAGTGAAGTGGCCCAGCTTTCCACAGTGGAAGCAATTCTGACCTCCTTTTTACCATTGGGTGGCACTGTATATGAGTAAGACTTCCTTTTTCCGACACAGGCCCTAAACTGGCAGCAATAGCTGCCCTAATTATTTTGGCCATTCTCTGGTCTTTTATCTTCCCTCTAAATCCCAGTTGTTAAAAGAGGGAATAATTAAAACAAATGTATAACAAATAATTTTGAACAATATAATCTTTTCAGTTTAAGGCTAGAAATATTAACAAGATGATCATTTCCAATCCAGAGATACATGTTCTAATGCAGTTCCTATTTTCCATAAATGGTTTTGGTAAGAAGAATATTGTAAATGTGGATACAGTTCCACTATTCCTCCTCCATGCCATGATA